GCACAGAAGAGACCTCCGGCCCCTCAACAGCCATACTAATAAGAAGGAGTTCATAGCTCTTAGAAAAAGGTTAGGCAGCAAAGTTAGATAGAGGGGTTTCGGGTCCACCTGCAAAATGCTGAGGTCATCCTATTCTAGAAAGGGTCTGCCCCAGTCCACCAAATTAAGTAAGCCAAAAGGCATTTTTAGGCTAAAAGTAACTCATAAAAGGAAACAAGTAAGCAGAAAATTGGGTACTAGTTTAAGCCAGTTGCTTGCACAATGAAACCATAATGATCTTCAACTCACCTGAGCCTCATTATGCCATCATAATATAACGCATTTGCCTGGAATTTCATTAATATCATTATAACAGACTGAATTCTGGGAACGAACATGTGCAGAAAGCAAACAATGAATCACTGAGTCCTGTCAGTCTTAGTCGTCCATCAAGAAAGCCCACTCCTCTAAGAAAAGTAACCACGCACAGCAAATAGGGATAAAAACCCCAAAGGCTTTGCCTCTGAGCCCTTGAGCCTTTGAGCCACCCTTCTCTTGCTCAGGCCACTTCCAGGTCTGGAAGCATACTGTTGCTTCACTTTCTCTTCCAATAAAGCTATTCTTTTCTGCTATACTACTGTGTCTTGTTCAATTCTTTGTTTGAGACATCGAGAGCCTGGACAACGTGTGGAGAGGGGGCATCCCACTTTCGGGTACCTCCTCTCGCAGGAGAACTGTAACTCTGCACTTCAATAAACCCTATTGCTCTACCTCTTCCTTTGTGTCTGCATCCTCATTTTTCGGGTTCACGAGACCACCGATTCCTGATGGCTTCGACCAATGAGCATACCAAAAACTCTACAATACTTTTGAAAATTAAATTGTATGTTTGAATCCTCTACAATTTATTTTCTATAATAAGAGTGGTCTGAAAGAATCACATTTTTCATAACAGCCTAATTTGCACCAATAAAATGCTAACTTTTCTTGTATTTAGCAGTTCTATGTTAATATATGCTTATTAAAATAATATTCTGTAGTACTGATATAAGAGATATGTTCTATTTGCATTGTGATTTTCCTGTTTAAAGATACTACCCTTACTGTTAAAATATAAAAGAACCATGAGCTTTGTTAACTGAAACACTGAGCAGGTTGCTCTCATCAGACCATGAGACAAAAGAAGTTCTTGATAAACTCTCTTCTAAACTAGGCTATTTCTAGGAAATTAAGCATTCTCCAGAAATCTTTCTTTACATATCTAGAGAGAATTCCCAAAACTTCCAAATGAAACTGAGAAAACAGCTTTCGATCATAAGAAATGCTGCAGATTCTTATAGTTTGCACATACAAAGATCATTGGTGCAGAGTAGGCTGCCAGAGGCTTAAGAACTGAACTAATTTAGAAAAAAATTCATGACAATTGAATTTGAAACTTGATATGGCATAGCAGATTATTATTGTTAACATTAGAAAAGAAATTCAAAATTCTGATCGTCTTCAAATATTGGAAAAGGATATCTCTGATCAATTTCCTCAGAAATACTCCTTTAAATGTGTTTTAAAACACATGCCCTCTTTTGTAGTAATTTAAGATTGCTTTTTCCTTTCTCAAATTAACATGTATACAGGAGGAAACTAACACTTATCAGTCAAGATTCATTTTTGTTAGGCATTACAAGTAAGGCAGAAAGAAACAGAATCTTAGTATATTTCCTTTAAGATAATAAACTACTTCATTTTTGTTGTTTAACAACTTAGAAAATAAAAAGTGTTTTAAACGTGGGAATGAATTTACCAGTAATAAATTTTATTTAACAAAGACAAAGTGTGTAATACATGCTTGCTCATCAGCCAAAAAGAAAAACAAGAACAATTTATTGATAAAATGAACTAATACAAAAATATATAAATTGCCCTTGCCTTTGGAAGTGAGATTATACATTTTTTTTTATAGTCAGCTAAGGTGTGATTAACATTTAAGTACAAAGGTTACTTAACATTTAAACACAAAAGTTTCTCCATGAGTTAGTTACTTTGGATTTTTAGAATTCCGCTTACCAGCATTTCTGTTGAAGTTGTGTTTTATAAAAGATGAGATGTTCAAGCACTTTATGCAACTGAGGACTATTCTTCTGAACACAAGTCCAAGCAGCAACACAGTGCCAGAGCAGGTGGTTAACTTCATATCCTTCCTGATTAAATTGCAAATGGTCCTGGAATTAAAATATGAAAATATGTCTGGGGAAGAATTCTTTAACTTGAATAAACATAAAAAATAAATTTCAAATATACAAATGAAAATGCATTTTTTCTTATACTTCATATTTCACCAAGTGGAACAATTTACTCAAATATATTTTTGTAAGTATATATATTTTGTAAGTTAATTTGAACTTAAGATCTTAATATATTTTCACAGGGGTGAAAAAGACATCAGTTCTACAATGACAAAAATCCTGTATTCTTCAAGAAACACCTACTAGATACAATTATGCCTCTTAGACTCCATATGACTTAGTTCTCTGTGACATCCAAGGAGGAGGGGACAGAGGAAGTTTGAACAATGGTCAAACAGCAAATTAGGTTTTAAAACGTGGATTTCCACTTTAAGGAACAAAATACATGCATAGCTGGACATGGTCAATGTCTACTAAATATTTTAAAAGCTTCCAAATTCAGAACACAAATAGGCTGTTATTTGTTTTTTTCTTAGAGTGCTTTCTAACAGTTTTATAGATTTAATTGGTCTAGCGAAGTAATTGGTAAAAAGGAAACCGATTTTATTGTTAGATGTTGATAAAATAGCACTCTCGTTGAATTTTTCCCAACAGTAAAGATTCAAATACACATCCTATGATATATACTCGCATTGTTAACTTAGCTGGTGTCTCTTTTACACTCAAAAGAAACACTTAAATAGACTCTAAAGGACTTCATAATTCTCATTTGTTATATAAGGCATCAGGACTACAATTTAAAGATAATTTTCATGTTGAGTACTCAAGACATACAGCTAAAAGTTCATAATTAAATTTAAACTAAGACAGTTTAAGTTTTTAGTAAACTATTTAGTTAGGTCCCACAGGTGTGTATTGATCTACTTTATGTCAGGAACTCAGTCACTAGAGATAAAGGCATAGTAAGATAAAGTCCCTGAACAAGGCTACTGACTCTGGGGAACAATTATTCAGAAAAGCAAATGGAAACAAGTCATTGTTTAGAATGTTAGAATATTCCACAGAAAACTTTTATTCTAAAATAATGGAAGATATCAGACTGAGATGTACTGACTTCAGTAAACACACATATTCTATCCAAATAACTCAATTTTCTGCTTCACGGTTGAGCCCACCCAAAAATGGAACCCATAAAAATGAAATTATTTTCTCAAATTGCTCTAGATGTCTCTGCCTGGATGCCTGACTGCCTTATGTTGCAAACTTATTCAAAATAAATATCTAAGTAGATATATTTTGAAACTTGTGGTTGGCTTGACTAATTAAAGCAATTGACCTTTTAAAAAAAAAATAATGTACACTCATGGCTACATAGGCTATTCAGTTAGGTCAAAAATTCTTGTTAACAAACTTATGCACCATCACCAGAGAAAATTCCCAAAAGCATGTGGCAAAGAAAAGACCAGGATTTGAACCATGAGCAAGATTTAAATTTTATTTTCATTTTTATATGATGCCATTTTTACTCATCATTGAGAAAGTAAAAAAGCAGTCTTTGATGTCTGGAACTGATTTGACACCAATATTATTACAAGCTGCTCTGACACTCACAATCAGGTTTGTTGGATATAAACTCACAGAATATCAACTTCAGGCAATATTACTGAGACCATGATAAATAAACAAACAAAGCCACTTGATCATTTTTTCTAAGCATAGACAAAAAGTCATCACTGTGCCATCTACAAAAATACCCAATCATAGAATTGCCTCTACTTTCTGGCAGCATCATATTTAGAGAGAACCCCTTCTTCTTTAGAGCCTCCCCAAATCACCCAAAGTCCAAATCCTACAATAGACTCATTCTTCTAACCCTCTCTGGTGGTTCCTTGGGCATGTGTTCTCTCTCTGCGACAAATGAAAAGCCTGCTGGGTTTCACTGCATGTGCTCCTGGTGGACTTTCACTGATGGCCATTGGCATCGAGAGCAAATGAACCCGCCACACCTGCAAATTTTCCTAGTAAGTGAGGCTTTATATATTTCAAATATTTGCATAGAAATTTTGGTGAAATTTCTTCCCCTTTGTCAAAAGAAAAATATATTTGCTGAACTTGAATGAATTAATATAATAATGATAATTATGCTATTTAATACAATTATGTACATCATCAGCATAACAGACCAAAGTGATTAGATGGTGTAGAGTTATTTGCCTTTGCACTACATCGGTCCCACTGAAGGGGTGGTTGGCAGATATGTGCCCTCTGCAAACTTAACTACAGCACAGAAATAAAGAATATATATTGAGAAACTTTTAGAACAATTTAATTTTATGTATTTTTCATTTTAATAAAAAAATTAATGCTTGCATTTTTATGTATTTTTTTATTTTCAGTAAATCATTATTTTTATAGTTTATAATACTATCAGTCTGTGACAGTTTGGACATTTTTTAAAAAGTTGAGAGGGATCTTTTTACCACAGATAGTATGAGGCTTGTCTTGAATAGCCATAGAAAGTAGATTCCCACACCTGCTCGCCAGAATCTTGAAGTTTATATAGAGGCCTCAACCAGGGTCAGTCACGTATATCATCCAGATGGTCACAACAACACATTGCTCTCTCAAGGTTGTGTCCTTTTTAATGGCTCCCACTGTGGAAATGGTGAGCAGGACACACATTCCAAGGACAGAGTGGGGTAAGGATCTGCCAGGTGCCTGGGGCCAGCTTGTGGGTCAACCAACAGTCACATCCTCGATTACCTCCTCCAGCGGGCTATCAGTGTCAGCTCGTACAATGCCTACTTTGAGAAGCCCACCTACAAAAGCGTTATTAATCTTCTATTGGCTAAGAATTCAGATAACCACATCGGCTTGAATTTTATGCGAATTTGAGAACACAAGCTCTGTCTGACTAAGCTCTCTTTTATAACAGAAATGAGGTTTAAAGTACAGGCTCTATTTTGGCTGCTCAGGGACAACTTTTTGAGTTTTATTCTTGTTTTCAGTCATTTTGAGGATGGTTGACATTGCCATGAAAGGGCTTTCAATATAAATCTCTTATTTGGATAGCAGGACATGAAGCATAGGATAATGTTCCTAATTTTAAAGAACCTGTATCTCAGTCTAACCCAATTCCTAGGAACCATTTACAATTACAGTACAGCACAAAATGTCCCAAATTTAGATAATGCCTTTGGTTTACCAAGTACTTAAAGCATTAGAGGATGAAATTGCTAATCACCTTTAAATGTAAACTCCATGTGTTTCCTAGTTTTCAGAAAACCATTTATAGTTTAGGATAGCTGCAACTATTCTGGAAAGGGTCTATAGCATTTTAGTTGAGTTTGAATCTACCTTCTCCAAAGAACTATGTTATTATCATGTGACAACTGTGCTTAGCAATTTCAGCTTTGCTAGTGAGCGAAGTACAGAGTGGAAAACTCAACCCAGGAATCTGGCTCTGCAACCCACAGAGCTAATTAAAGTGTCCCATTTGTCAAAGTCAATGGAAACCCTGTGTCTAGATCAGCTTAAAAGGATATTAAAATGAGAAATGGGTTCCAGCAGCAGAGAAAGGAAATGTCCTATTCTTAAATAGAACCAGCACCCATTTTGTGTGTATCCTAATGTGGATGTCCTACAGAGTTCTTATTATTTTCAGCAATTTTATAGCAACACTTTGAAAACAAATTAAATAATTATGCTTGTACTCCAATGCTTATAAGTATATTAAAAATAAAATAGTTTACAGTGGCCCAAATATGCCATCATGGACCTTTTAGCATTATTGGAGGCTAAGGGCTATAGGTATAAATCCACAATCCTCTATTATAGCATACTAATGATAAAGAATGGAGAATGAATACAAATGTATCTTTTCTATTCCCATCGCTCTCTCTCTTTTTTACCTGCTCTTCTCCCAGAGGTGAGAGAGAAGGTATTAGATGGATAAATATTCAGCTGAACTGGAGAGGCTAGCTTAAATTACTACCGGAGAAATTGGGCTGAAACTGGAGAACGACATGAGAACATGCAATCAAGCACTGAATCAGTTTGCTCAAGAAGCAATTTTAGCAGCACTGTGGCTACACTGCTTTGTATATTCTTTATATTATGAGGTAACTGGAGGAGAACAAGGAGAGCAATATATCTGATAAGCTGCAATCTGTTATAATCCCTTCTCAGAATCATAGCTGCTGTAGAATTTAGAAAAGATTTAAACTATGCCTGTAGTTCTAAAAAGTGGAAAAAGACACAGAAACTTAGCGTCTTCTCTCACTCTAAGGAGATACATTCTTTTCATGTGTCGACATTTTTGCCCCTTCCAGTTCACACCAGGCTGTACAACCAACCGTAAGCTTCCGTTTTTTTGCTGTGGATGCACCAAGAGTGACAAAAAGATTGATTCTTAAAAAGAAACAGAATCAGCATTGAAGGTTGCCTGTCTCACAACCAGAACACTTATATCATGAAGGTTTCACAGAATCTTATTTGTTTAAAGGCAAAACTACTACATTAAGTTAAGCATAATTAACTACACCGTTAAGCACAATCATTTAGTCAGCATCATCGTGTCCTTAGATGAAAATTATTATATTTATCTGCCTAAGTTAAAGTGAGTTCATAAATATATTTTCAATAATCATTATTTACATTTACATGGCATTTAATAATTTCCAAGGTACATGCTGTTTTGTAATCTTCACAACAATCCTGTAGATTAATGAGGGCAAATATGATGATGATGATTATGGTGGCAGTGATGGCGATGTCTTTTTTTTTAGAAGGTCAGTAATAAAACTCAGCTTTACTTCATAAGTAACATGTCTCAAAAGTAATGTTTATATTAAGCAACTCAGAGATGGTTAAGAAGATTGCACATATCATTTTTAAATATAGTTGGTATATAATATTATATTAGTATATTAGTTCCAGGTGTATGACATAGTAATTCTACATTTTTATACCTTACAATGTGAAGTGATGCCTTTTTAAAGATAAGCAAATGGGGATTTGGAGGGTTTAACGGACCCCTCTGGATCACACAGCCAGTTGGTGAGCAGATCTTTCCTCTTCATGATCAGTGCTCTTTTCTGTTGCTCAATATCTTAGATTATATATTTATCATTATAACATTTTTAAACTTGAAAACAAGGTCCCTTTTACACATTAAGCAATTTGCGTTCATTAGTAATTATAACCATAAGGTTCAAATTACTCAGTATATGTCATTCTTTATATAAATGGTTCACCAAGTAATGAGTCAAAGAGATACACTAAAACCTAGAAAGATTAAAAATAGTTGTGGTTAAATGTTTTTCTTTATATATTTAAATTTGAGTTAGTTTTAGAAAGGGACCAAAAGAAATGTGAGAAAACTGTGAGGCAACTCATAGATAAAACTATTTAAAAAGAGAATCTTCCTTAATTATCCTTAGTTGTTTCCACTTATGTTATGTTAAAAGTATTTTTTCTTTTAAAAAAAATTATTAGAAAAATAAATTTTCTATTTATAAACTATAAAATAATAAATATATATGACAAAAATAAAATAGTAAAAGATAATAGTAAAAATAAAATAGTAAATCAAGGTTTCGAAGAGTTTACTCCTTATTTTTGTAATAAAAAGATAAAAATAAAATAGTAAATCAAGGTTTCGAAGAGTTTACTCCTTTTTTTTGTAATATATGTGAGAAAAGGAAATAAAGCATTACGAACCTTAGAGACTGAAGTTTACCTTTTGAAGAACATCAGTGTATAAAGCATGTGAACAATTATATGAGTCACTGTATTTCTGTTTACATAATACATTTGCATAATAATTTATTACATGTATTATAGAATTGATAGCCAGTTTTCTCTAAGATTAATCACTAATATCTAAGTTAGAAATTAAAAAGGTTTTTCATAAATAAGGGATTATTTTAATTCTTCAATTTTGAACCATTTAAATTTTTTCAGTGGTTTTAATAGCATGTTCAATGTTATTACATATGAATTATCGAAGCATAAAAATGTTATACCTGCTTTCATTAATAGCCTGTACTTTACACAATTTTCTTTTAATAAAAATGTAATATCTTAAAATGTTCATTTATAACAAACTAAATTATGTTGTAATTTTCAATTAAATAGCCAAGATGGACTCTATAAGGAAGATGGTATTATGGCACTACTCTATTTAAAGTAGCAGCAATGCATATTGATGCCTGCTACTGATCATCTTAACTAACTACTGTCCAGGAAATATGTGTATGGCTGCATGAATTTAGTGTCCTTTCTGTTCACTCCTCCCTGAAGCTAAAATCATCTTTGGTAATGCTTAATGAATTGGCAAGTACAATTATTTAATCATAGCAATCTTATCCGATTCATCACGCATTGAGATATACTCACCATGTCAGAATCTCTGTTCTTGTAATGTTCCTTGTTTTCCACAGGGCTAAAAACTGATCCAGTAAATAATTCTCTTTTACATATAATTTCCATGGTTTTCAGAATAATTTGCACATTCGAAAAGATGTTTGGATACTTGTAATATGATTCTCCAGAGAAAGAAAGTGCTTTTGTGAAAATAAAAATTTGAGAGAAATATTTCATTAATATCTTGCATAGTGTTCATTTGTCTTAGTTATTAAAATATAATTAAATTCAGTACTTTGATGCTGAAACTACTGTACAGTTTCCCATGTATTCAAGATTTATTATGTTATGTATGACACCTGCTGGTGTAATAGAAAACTACAAGGTAAATAATTCATACGTAAGAGTTTATATTATTCAGAGCAGCAATTGCATAATGGTTAAATGCCCAATTAAGTATAGTTACTGTACAACAATGCTTGGAAACTTTCAGCTGAAAATAAAGTTATAAGAGATACTATATTCATAATGGATACTTTAAAATGGTAATCCTACAAACAAATCAATGTCATTGCTTTCAACCTAACATTCTCCATTTTTATTCCTTTTCAAGATGTTCTTATTAATCTTTAAAAGTATGTATTTTACATATAGCACCAACTATGTCATTTAACATAAGACTATGATGTTTAACAGAACCATCTTTGTGCTGTTCTTTTTATAAACTGTTAGACAATCTCTGAGTTTTAGTCTAGCGACACAGTGGAAAAATTAATAATAACCAATCTTCTACTGGATGGATATATGGATAGATAGCAACGGTTAATAGCCTCAGATAGGAATCAGCCTGTTGCTGAAGATAGAGATGTAGCCTAAGTAAGGCTCAATTTTACAGTATTTGATAAAAGGGAGAAATCTGGGGATTTTATCCTTATGTGAAACAAAGATATTGGTTTTCTTGGGACATATCCACAATAACAGGCTAATGTGAGAACTTCAGGTTTGATTCAAATAATTTTTCAATATTTATTTGCCACCATCATCTAAATATTTGATTAATCACTATGCTGAACACAGTGAGGAGTTAAAGAAAGGATTTATAATGTAATGATGAAATCAAAACAAGTGATATGATAAACATGAATTCTTTTTCTGCCAGTCTACAGCCTTGTCTTGGTTTTACACCCTGTCAGAACTTGTAGTAGTGGTACATGTCTGTCATTCTCCAAAACATTTCCACCTTTTATTCCCTCCTCCGTGACTTTTTCCATCAAACACCATTCTCTTTTTTTGTATCTTGAGTCCCTTCATCTCTTATTCTACAATATACTAATCTTCTCTTGTTTTGACCTTCTTTTTTCATCTAAACTATTGACATATTTCTTCTTCTTTGTATAGCTAAGATTTTCAAAATAGTTTGCTATCTCTGTCTTATGCTTAAACTTTCCCTTCACTCTGTTTATGTTCAATCTGAACTTTGCTTTTATCTCTCCACTCAGGATGCTCCTAAGATCAGCAGTGACTTTCTGATTGAAGAAACCCATCATCACTTCAGACTTCCTACTATTTAATATTTCTACAGCTGTTGATAATTTTGATCTTCTTGAATGACTTTTTTTTTTTTTTTGGATTTCTATGTCATCACTCCCTCCTATTTCCCTTAATTTTCCTTTATTGATGTTTGTTATTCCAATAATCTATTAAATGCTTATGTTTCCCAAGATTCTATTCCTAGAATTAATTTATACTCACCACCACCTCCCAGGTTATCTCAGCCACGTTAATATGGATGACTGTCAAAGTTTTCATATTAATATCAATAAAATAATTGAATCCCAATTCAAATATTTATTTCCCTAGTTCCAAATCTGTTTCTAACTGCTTGCTGAATATCTATACCTGAGTGACCTTTAAATTCAATATGCCCAATGTTCTTGACCCGATTAATCCATATGTAAAACTTAAGATTTCTCCTGAATTCCTCACTTTCTCTTATATATAGATTAGATCCAATAGATCACTAAGTGCAGTGTCTTTTCTCTCCTAAACATTTTCAAAGTTATTTTATTCCATCCTAGTCTCATTTTAATAGTTCATATATTTAACATCTTTTGCCTATATGAATATTGTAGCAAATTGACCTCTCGCATCCACTCTCTCCTTACTCCAGTCCAGCATGTCCATTGCCACCGGTGTTACCTAACTAAAATATGAATTTAATTCTATTAAATCCAGAGAGGTAGATACTATTACAGATGAGGAAAATTAGTTGGTCAAGGTCATAGACTTAATTAACTAGGACAGTTAAAAAGTAAAATCCATGCAATCTAGTTCAGAAACTGTACTCTTCAATAATATACCTATTATCTTTCATAAAAAATGAAATACAGCTTATGCTCTTCGTAGTGATAGTCTGAGCTTCTCAAAATATAACATTAAACATTTATAAGTATAGAAAAAAAAGGATAGTCTACCGTATAAATATGGTTGAAGCCTAAGCAAATGTTGTTTAAAACATTCTAGATGACCATGCAGGAAATAAATAAAAAGTCGTAAGAAGACCAAATAGCCAATCTGTCAAAAGAGAAAGAAAAAAGCGTTTCTGTGTTGCATCAATAAATGTTTAAAAACCATAAGGAAAATAAACTATTTTCTTATTACATTTGCTTTTGATGGAACAATTTCAAACTCTTGAGATTATGTGCTTTTGAAATAATTTTAAAATGTTTTATATCAAGGTTGAAATACTGGTTCGGCCAAAAAAAACTTTTATAAATCATCTCTACATTACATATAATGACCAACACTGAATATATTTTGTTCTATGTCCTTTAGAGGAGTATTTTTCGAATTGCAAGTCATGCCCTTTAAGTGAGTCATGAAATCAATTGAGAGGGGATTTTAAATAAAATGAAAGAGAAGAGATAATATCATAGTACATTACACAGTTCCTTGTTTCAGTATATAAATAAATGTGTATTAATATGTGTACTGGATTGCAATGCAAAAGATATTTCACTATGGGTTTCAGTCAAAACATTTGAAAAACATTGCTTTAGATATTTTTGAGAAATATTCTGCCTGTGCATAGCATGCTGTACTAAGATCTCCAATCCCTCATGAAAAAAAATCATTACTACCCAAACCCTGTAATAATTTACTTCTGTGAAGTTTAAAATACATGTATAGCTGAAACAGTTTTTTACATAGACTACAGAAAATGTACTACCTTCAAAATCATACGATATGCAAGATTTCACAAGAAATGACAAAAAAAAAACCCTTATAGTATAGAAATAAATAGTACACAAGTGCCTAAATTGCTAAATCATAAGTTTATGGAGAAGAACCAAATAATAATAACTACCACTATATAAGTATCAAGATATATGTGTATCCAAATCCATGTGACAACAATGCAGGGGATTATTTGAGCTACATGTAAAAAAAAAAAAAAATAACAAAATTCTAAAAATGATTCTACCAAATATCAGTGATTCACCCACAACTATTAAGCAAATAAGTCTAGTAGTTGCTTTGAATTCTACTAGACTTTGAACCCAGGACTGAATGTATTGTACCAAAAGTCATGAAATTTCTATTATAGCAGTGACTTTCCATATATTTATATCACAAACTCTATCGGTAAAATAAATTCTGAGAATGCCCCACTGATATTTGTAAGTGTATCCATAAATTATAAATGTGCACCATTTATAGACTTAAAAAATAAATAAAGATAAAATGTTTATAAGGCATGTGTGCGATATCTGCTCATATATACTACTTTGATATACTATTGTGCTTCTCTAAGAGATTGAAATGAAAAATTAGAAGAAAACTTAGGATTTTGCAAGGGATTATAGCTAGATATTGAAATAAATATTACTGTTTAAAAATTTAATGTGGGAAAATATAAAAATACATGAAAAGCATATCAGTTTGAATAATCACTGTTTGTTATGTTCCAATTTGGTTATGAGTTTCACCCAACCCAGAGGGTATCCCTAGTTATAATTGTGTTTGAAAAAATAATTTTAACGCTTTCATTTATAATATTCTGAAAGGCTAGATTTTCACTGAAAAAAAAAATTCTACCTTTCTATATCTCTAAGGAAATATGGGGCTTTCTGTGCATCTTGCCTCATGTCTCATTTGTGTACATATTCTTACTGTAGCTTGACAACTCAAGCTTTGCCTTCTAGACTAAATCTCTGCTTATCAAGTTCTCTCTCTCTGCTCTCTCATCCTTCCTTCCTTTATTCTTTACCTTCTTTCTTTCTTTCTCTTTCCATCTCTTCTCTTCTGGGCTTTTTTCTTTCTTTCTTTGCAATTAATCCATAAAACCACTAGTTAAGCTAAATTCCTTTGACTAATAATAAATTTTTTGCAGGGAGCCATAATTATTACAGGGAATAGCACCACATGACATCCTGGTCAGAACCTGATAGAACATGAGCTACATGAAGATAATTTCCCATTTTATGGCTCTAAAATTACTTCAAATACTGAGAGAACAATTCTCTTCTCAAATTGGGCAAGCATTCAGCGTCATCTGTCAGCATTCTTAAATAAAAAATGGTATTGTAAAATCCTTAAAATAGAGAAGAGAAAAGCTAAATATACCCTAACACAAGGATAAACTTGATTTTCTGTTAAATACTATTTTCTTACATAGTTGGTGGTAAATTTTCTCAAACTATTTCCATTTGGGTATCATGCAATAATGTATTATCCACATGTAGAGAAGATTAAAAAACTTCCAAATAGGAGAATATTCTATAATAAAACCAAGTGGACTGTTTAAATCCTAAAACAGATGTCATTTGACTACACATACTACATGCAGCAATTAAAACACATTAAAATATTTTAAAACATACCTTTGACAGCTTTATTTCAACTGAATATAAGTATGTCTTTAGGAATGCATCACAACAGAGTCGATATAAAATTGATTCCGCAACAAAAAATAAGGCAGGTAGATGATCATAATCAAAGGAAGCATGGTCCATGGAAGCATAAAGTATATTTAAAGCCTCTGCAATATCAGAAAGTAGAACCTCCATGATTTATAAATGATGTGCTGTTTTTCCACATGCAACAATTAAGTCTTGCAATTACGTGTTTACTCAGTCACCAAAACCAGATTATAGCTTTTAAATATTTAGAAATCCTTTGACACCCCCCCCCACCGCAATCAAGAGGTGAAGTCTATGCTCCCTTCCCCTTGAACTTGATCAGATTTTGCAATTGCCTCGACCAATAGGATGTGGCAGATATGACACTGCATGACTTCCAAGGATAGATCAGAAAAGGCAACAGCTGCCACCTAGATCTTTTTATCAAGATACTAGCTTTGGAACCTTAAACTGCCATGGAGGAACTCCAACTACTCTGAAGTCACCCAGATTGCCGGGGGGAGGGGGGAGTGCAGGGGGAGAGAGAG